CTCTCGATTGAGCAACTGGTTCCGTGGGAACAGTTTGGCCCACTTGTGCCTGTGCTTTATGAAAAGCTTTCTCCATCGCTTTGTGGCGACGCTGTTCATCCTTTGAGGGCGCAGCCACAGTAGCAGCGCTTGGCTTGTCACACTTGGCCCTTTTGGCTCTATGATGTTTGGATGAAGGACCCTCTAAAGGATCGTCTTGAGCAGGCCTCTTATTAGTCGAGCCTGATTGCTGCCTAGCCGCCATGTTGGAGATCAAAGACTTATGCAAAATGGCCACCGGAGACAAACGTTGACACAAAACAGGCTGTTGCCACTAAGGTGAAGGGACAATCCACAAAAAAAGTTTCAGGCGGCGAAGGTGTAAGATCGCTAGCTCAAAGGCTATTACCGCGATCGTCCAGAGCGCTTTACAAGCCCAGCTTGAGAATCAGAGACACACGCCGCCAGCCAAACGGCTGTCAAAGCGGCCAGAGAAAGTTATTAGAGAGTCCGAACCTCAGTGTCTCAAATATGGATCGCAGACCCAAGGTCGAATAGCGATCTGTCTAGCGCCCAACATGTTGGCCAAAAATTCAAATTAATTGAAAGAAAAAGGAGCGCCGCCCCGCTTACCCCATGACTTGAGCCGGGGCGAAAGCGCGTGAAAAAACACCACCGCGCTCAACCCGATGGTTGAGGGGAGCGCGAATGCGGCGAATTCGTTTCGTTGAAGTTGAAAACGAGCCAAAAAAGGCAAAAAAAGGAACAGGAACGAAGAAAGAGTCCAAATTATGCCAAATTAAACCAGATCCAGAAAAAAAACCAGTCGAACAAATCAGAAATGGAAACGGCTATACTGGGAGACACGACCGGCCAGCATAGACCGAGTCGAAACACTGGAGTAAGGGGGTGGAGCTATGCAAATTCGTAGACTCGGTCACAAGCTGCATGGAACTGTCGACCCCAAGGTGACAGCCGTTTCCCTCATTATGGAGAATGTCCACTTTTTCTTCTTGAATTCCTCGAATAATCAAATTATATTTCCTTGCTTCTTCTTCCAAAAGACAATTTTTTTATCTTGTTGTTCATTTTTAAAAAAAGATTTCTCCCATTTGCCGATCTATCTTTACATCATGTGCATGAATCTGCTCAATTTCATCTTTAATTGTTGTCATTTCTACTGTTTGCTTTGCAAAATTTTCATTCATTTCTTGCTTCATTCTTTTAATTTCCAATATCATATTATCCATACTATCTGACAGTCCTGATATCTTTTCACCAATTTTAGTTAAGGCCACAGCAACTTGTTGCATTTCTAAAGATTGTTGGGTCGCCATTTTTTAATAAGTTTTTAATTGTCCACTTTTGCCAAGAGGGTCTTTAATGAAGATTAAGGGACAGCAATTCCTAATTGAAGCTGAGACAGCTTATTATTACACTCAAAAGGGCCAACAATAAAAGTTTATAGTTCTCAATTCAGCTTGCGTAATTTCCTTTAAAAAAAAAAACCTAACATCCGTTGGAAGGCACTGCCCAGAAATGCGTTTTGCCGCTTCGACTCAGGCACTTTCACAAACAAAAGATCAACTTAAAATTCACATATTCTTCCCAAAAAAACCCCCTTTCCACCGGTCTTTTGATGTTCCGTGCCTTTACCCCACAGCAAAAACAAACACAGATCGCGATAATAATGAGAACAAAAGGCAGCTATTTGCTCCAAATACACAATCGCGACTGCCTATCTGGTCACCCCTCACTCCTTCCACTTTCCCACGCTATGAAAGGCTTCAAAATTCGAGTGGTTCAGGGTGACCTACCGATTCCAAAGTCAGTCTGCTGGGCCAGTAGCTCTTCCGATACAATTTATAAAATTTTGGCTCTTATCGGTGCATTTCAAACACTTTAATCCATATTTATCTTCCGTAAAATGCCCTGCGAAGTGGAGAAAACGTCCTCACACCACCACGGCCATAACCATGCCCCCTGGACTAGAAGACCTCTAAGGTCCCTTCCTGATTCTAAAATTCCTTCTGTCCCTTTTGCAAAAGCTTTTGGTGTGGAGGAGGAAGGCCCAAAGGAGCGTGAATTCAAGCTCCTTCAGATTCATTGTGGTTACCCGGTGCTCTAAAAGTGGATAAGGTGGTCTGCACAAGCAACCTCAGTGAATCAGGCAAGGTTACCAGGGCACGCATATCCCATTCTGCCTGTGCTCTCGGCGCTCCACTTTTGGAGTGCTGCAATCAGCAAAGAAACCGCACTGCCATGAAAATTGTGCAGCAAAGAGGATAAAGAGGAGACAGCTTGCTTGATCATGGAGTTCTTCAAAAGATAAGTGAGTCTTCACAGGCCCAGTGCCTGCAGAGCAGTATGGGGGGAAGCAAATATGGGAACTCCAAGGGAGTATGAGATATCTCAGTGGGTGGGAGAACGTCTTTGATGATCGGAAGCAGGGGTCTGTTCCAGCACTAGGCCCCCTATGCTCTTCCCACCCTGAGATATCTCGTGTGCCCTTAATGACCTACTTATCTGATTAATGAATGCATTGGAGAAAACGGAGAGGGATCACATTAATTTAACATGATCCAATTAACAAATTCTCAGGTTACAAATATAATTGGCAATCTCTATTACACTTGTAATTTGAGGATTACCTGTATTTTCTCTGGGTCCAATGCTTTTCCAGTCTTTTGTCGGTGAAATAGACCTCACACTTCTTTTTCTAGGATCACCAGAGGTGGCAGGCCCAGAGGGATATCAGGTATAGGAGAATTGGCTATTGTTGGTGTATCTGAGATGGTAGCGATAGGTGACAATTATCTCGTCTCGAACCTAAAATAGAACGTATTCAGGTCATCTACCAGTTGCCGATTCCTTTCAGTAAGGGAGGGAGGTCTGCTGTGGACAATGATATTTTTCAGTCTTTTCCACATATGTGCTGATTCATTTGCTAAGAACTGATTCCTCAACTTTTCAGAGTAGCTTCTCTTTGCTGCCCTGATCTCACTTATTAATACATTTCTGACTTGATTGGACAACATTTTACATCCTTTCCTGTAGGCTTCCTCTTTGGCACAATATAGCTGGTTGAGCTTAGCTGTGAACCATGGTTTATTGTTACTGTATATATGCAAGCTTTTGGTCAGCCCACATAAGTCCTCACAAAAACTAACTTATGATGTTAGGGTATCAGTGAGTTCATCCAGGTCTGCTGAGTCAGCTTCGAAAACGCTCCAGTCCGTGCAGTTGAGGCAAGCCTGTAGCTTTAACTTTGCCTCCTCAGTCCAAGACTTCACTGTTTTAACCATGGGTTTTATAGTTTTAAGTCTCCGTCTATAAACAGGTACAAGGGGAATCATACAATGATCAGAGTGGCACATAGCCGCTTATAGTAGAGAGCGATAAGCATCTTTTAATGTTGAGTAGTAGTTATCTAACATGTTCTTATCTCTAGTGAGGCAGCTGATATGCTGAGTGTATCTTGGCAGTTCTTGGCTTAGTTTAAAAGATAAAGGTAAAGGTTCCCCTCACACATATGTGCTAGTTGTTCCGGACTCTAGGGGGCAGTGCTCATCTCCATTTCAGAGTCGAAGAGCCAGCGCTGTCTGAAGACGTCTCCGTGATCATGTGGCCAGCATGACTAAATGCTAAAGGCACACAGAACGCTATTACCTTCCCACCAAAGGTGGTCCCTATTTTTCTACTTGCATTTTTTACGTGCTTTCGAACTGCTAGGTTGGCAGAAGCTGGGACAAGTAATGGGAGCTCACTCAGTTACGCAGCACCAGGGATTTGAACCGCTGAATTGCCGACCTTTTGATCGACAAGCTCAGTGCCTTAGCCACTGAGCTTAGCACTGTTAAAATTTCCTAAGACATTGAGTAGGGCGTCTGACTATCACTGTTCAGTCCACAGGACTTGGACATAGGATCCTCAAGCTCCTGGTCCAAAGGATCTTCAAGAAAAAACTGTCCATCATATTCTTTAAAATCCCCAAAGATGAAAAACCTATAGCTTGCTTTGAAAGACAGTTTCCATATACAAATTTTACTACTAGGAAATGTAAACAACATCTAGGTATTTATACTATACACCTATGTGGAACCTTGTCAGAGCTTTGTGGCAAATTGAAACAAATTGTATCTACAGCATTCCATTCAGATCAAATTTCATCAAAGGATGAGACATGTTTTTTTTACAGGATTTGTTTTTGACAGAACTGGTATGACAGAACACTTAAGCAACTGCAGCATTCTTTTCAATATACTTAACAGCCTGTTTTATTAGCCACTCTAACATCTTTCCAGGTATTAATATTAGTTTCACTGATCAGTAATTATGAAATCCTTTTTTTCTTCCTTAAGAGAAGGAGTACATTTGCTCTTCTCCAACACCATTTTACTTGCTAGGAAAACAGAGAATTGCAGTTGTGATAAATACACATTGATTGCTAACTCAGAAGAATGATAGAATTGAATCAATAATCATAAAAGCACTCATGCAGTAAATGCTTTGTTTTGGAGAGTTCAAGGCCACACTCAGTAGAAGCAAACTCCCAAGATTAAAATTTTCCAGGTTTCTCTAGGCAGAATTTGTGGTCCTGTGTTTTTTTAAAATAATATTATCTCTATTTTAGAGCATATATTGCAGTGGGTTTCTCAAATGAGATTATCTCTATTTTTAGGGTTTATATAGGGGTGCTTCCTGCCTCAAAATGATAGAAATTGTACCAACAATTAGGGTCACAATTTCCTACCATTGTGTTCACGGAATAAGTTGGAAATTGGATGACTCGGGCCACGGGACTACATATTACTGATACTTTTCTTATGTGGTTTTGTACATTTTCTTCTCTGCTTGTTTATACATTACTGTATGGTTTATTAAGGGCTATATGAAAATAATAGTCAGGGTAAAATAGCTTGTTCTATTGCTAAATAATGGGTTTCAGGAATTTAGGATTACTTATTGTCTGGGGTAATTTAATGACACATTTTTATATTTTGAATTATTTTTATTTATAGAATCACAAAGATTTGTTTTAAATAGTGATGGAAGCTTGGAGATTTATAAAATTAAAGGCAGCGATGCTGGGAGTTATACTTGCAAAGCAAATTATATGTACAATAATGATCAACTGACTACAAAAATCCATTTTATGCTTTATGGTAAGTAAGGATTTAGCAATCTTTTTTCTAACTATGATATTAATTTATAAACTATACAGATACTCAAATGCAAGTAAAGTAGTATAAAGTAATAAATAAGGTGACCAGATTTTAACATTGGTAAAGAGGGACATTGTGGGCGTAGTTATTTTGTGGGCGTGGCTAGCTGGACCCATGACTGGGTGGGCGTGGCTAACTGGTCACGTGACCGGGTGGGCGTGGCTAACTGGTCATGTGACCGGGTGGCCAAGGCTATGTGTATAGGGTAAGGTGAACAGATTTTAACATTGGTAAGAAGACACCATTGTGGGCGTGATTTATTGTGTGGGCGTGGCTTGGAGGCCATGTGACTGGGTGGGCGTGGCTAGCTGGTCATGTGACCGGGTGGCCATGGCTATGTGTATAGGGACTACTCAGAGGGCTGAAAAGTCATTTCTGACAGGTCCTCACACTTTTGACTGGTCCTCACACTTATGACCATCCTCACATTTATGCGTGCAGTATTTAACAACCATGTCACTCATTTTACAACTGCTTCTCTTCACCATGGTGACAAGATAGGGCAAAAACATAAAATGTGAGGACAGTCGTAAGTTCGAGGACTGGTCAAAAGTGTGAGGACCAGTCAAAAATAACTTTTTCAGCCCTCTGAGTAGTCCATATGCACAAAAGGACTAACCAGAGGGCTGAAAAAAGTCATTTCTGACAGGTCCTCGCACTTTTGACTGGTCCTCACACTTATGACTATCCTCACATTTATGCCCATGCAGCATTCTTAACAACCATGTCACTCATTTCACAACTGCTTCTCTTCACCATGATGACAAGATAGTTTAGTTTAGTTTAGTTTATTTGATTTGTATAGGGCAAAAATGTAAAATGTGAGGACAGTCATAAGTTCGAGGACTGGTCAAAAGTGTGAGGACCAGTCAAAAATAACTTTTTCAGCCCTCTGAGTAGTCCATATGCATAAAAGGATACAGCAATAGAGAGGGATGAAGGAATGGAAATTAGAGTAGGAGTGAGGGTAAAGAGGGAGGAAGAGAGGAGGAGAAGGAGAAAGGAAGAGGAAGTAGGGAGGAGAAAAAGAGGGTGGGGGGAAGAGAAAGTAAGAAGGAAAGAAAAGAGAGTGGTGGCAGGTTTGAGGAGAAAGATTGCTGTACAATAAAAAAGATGAAAGGGAAGAAAGCCAACCCCAAGCAAATATAAAGATATTAAGATTAAGAATGAATTGTTAAACTTTAAAGAATAAAAGAGAACAAATATGAATAAATAGCAATAATTAGAAACACACATACAAACATACAATGTATTTTCTTTGAACAGAATATTTGGCTACTTCACAAATTTAAACAGCGTTTAGTCATTTCAATTAAATTTACAATTTCTATATTTCCTTTTTGCCATATTTATTCCTCATCTATTTTTTTAAAAAAACAATATTACCCTTCATCCTCATCTCTAATCTTAATCAAATTCAATTTTTCCATTCTATTCTATATTATACCCCTTCCCATTGTCATCTATTTTTATATCCATCCTCACATTGGTTAATTATGTAATTATGTAATACAGTTGTTTAATACAAATTCAACATTTTAATATAAATCAATTGGTTATATAACTATCTTTTTTGTATATTAATCAATATGAACATGAATATTCCAATTATTTCCATGCAATCCAATTTCTTACAAATCCATTAATTATATTTACCAATAATAATAAACCAAATAATTTCCCCCATATATTCCTCCAAACCACAACTTAACCATTTCTGCTTTCAACACAATATACAATTATTAATAGTATCTCAATTATTACAATTCCCTAGTTAAATAGAGCTTTTTTTCTTTTGTGTTTTAAAATCTTGAACTCTCCTCTTTTGCCCAAAATTTCCCATTGTTTGCAGTTTTGTACCTACCTTTTTTGGTGAGGAAAAAGAAAAAGAAAAAGAAAGAAATCTCTCTCTGCCTCATTTTGTCACGTTGCAGCTTTACTTTCGCTTTCGCCTTTGTTTTCAGCATAGCTAGGGGGGAAAAAATCTGCTCCAGGAACTTTTTGCAGCTTTTTGCAGCTAATTAACGTAGCGGAAGCTGTTAACAGGGGCTGTTTTTTCTATTTTTGCAGGCATGGGTCTACTCATTTTTTTTTTAACACTGATCAGCTGTAGGTCGGCCCTTTGAAGCCCCACGGCAAGAGTTTAAACAGTTTTTTTTCCCTCTAGCCATCAGCGGGGATTCAGGAGGCAGCCGGGACTCAGGAGGCAGAATGAAAAATCGGGACTTTTTTAAAACGCCGCGGGACGCGGGACAAATTGCTCAAAAGCGGGACTGTCCCACCAAAAGCGGGACGTCTGGTCATCTTAGTAATCAATCACATTTTATAATGTTACATCCTAGGTCTATTGAAACTAAATATAGAGAGGTTTATGAACAATGCTCCGGTGCACAATAATTAAAAATTGTGCATTCAGAAGTTATGGTCAACAGCTGAAATGGTTTAAAGCAGGGTTCTCCAACCTTGGTGACTTTAAACCTGGAGGATTTCAATTCCCTGAGTTCCCCAGCCAGCTTTGTTCCAGAAGTCCTCAAGGCTTAAAGTTGCCAAGGTTGGAGACCCCTGGTTTAAAGCGTAAACTGATTCATGAAGGACTGGACTGTCAAAAGAGTTATGCCCTTTCATCCTACTTACAAGCGTTTTAAATGCTTCTGTTAAATAATAACTATCTTCCCATAAACCCAAAGAGCATCTGAAGAATACTAGCTCAAAATGAGTGGAAAGGTAGCTCTTGAACAGAGTCAATTAGAGCTACTAGAATAAAGGACCTACTTGATTAGACCTACTTGAATGAAGGACTACATGCAGCTCTTTGGCGCGCATGTCATCTTTATAGGGAGAGCTTATCTGGGGTGTGGAAGTGTCTATGTGCTGATTCTAATGTGACATTTGAGCTTGTATATGTGTGTAGGTATGTTTTTTTAATTTAATTAACTCTGTGTTTGCAGACCTTATCCTTTAATATGTGGATTAGGTCTGGGTAATTTATTTGGGAGTTTTAGGAAGTTTGCTAATTTAGTTGATTAACTCAGTTTCAGCTTGACTGTCAATTATCTAGTGGATTATCTAGTGATTCTCAGACATTGTGGATTCTGTTAATATTTTAAGGGAAGATGGAAACAGTATAAAGAATTAAGAATAAAATATATTTGGATATAAAACTTATCACATATGGATTATAAACTCTAGGAATCAGTCTCTCAGATTAAGTAAACTAAGCTTTTCAATATAACGAATCTCTGAGAATACTTAAGTATTAAATATTTCAGTAATTATTTCTTAAAAGAATTCAAAGCACCAAGTTCACACAGATTATATCCCAAAGTTCTGAAGGAACTGGCAAACATGATCTCAGAACCATTGAATCATATATTTCAACGATCCTGGAGTATCAGGGAATGACTAGAGGTTTGGAAAAGAGCTGATGTGTTTCCCATTTTCAAAAAAATTTTAAAAAATGGTTTAGGAAAGATCCTGACAGCAATCTTGGAAGATCCTGGAAAGACAATCGAGCAACAATTTTGTGAACACTTAGAGATATACACTTATAACCAGAAGTCAACGTGGGTATCCAACTAATTTAACAACCAGTTCATCCTAAAGACTGGGTGGGCGTGGCTAGGGTGTCATGTGACTGAGCATGGCCAACTTGATATCACTCACGGCAAGGTGGGGTGACACAGGTGGGTCGAAACGGTGGTGGCGGTGGCCAGATCCTTAGATTTTCCTTTGTGCAGTAACAGCAACATTGATTCTTCAATGTTCACCTCATCTCTTGCTGGGTCAATGCCCAACAGTCAGCATTTTTAAAAGGGTTTTGCAGCAGGAAATGGCAGGTGGCTACTTCTGGCCTTTGTTGGTGCAGCTGAGCACATGCCTTGAGACACTGGCCTGCAGATGCCACCTGTTTGCCAGTGGAAGAAGCCTCCAGCCGCTGCTCTTTTTCAGCGTGAGAAGCCTCCAGCCGCTGACCTTTTTCAGCATAAGAAGCCTGCAGCCGCCATTCTTTGCCAGCGTGAGTGCCTCCAGTTGTCACGTCTTTGCCGGCTCAAGGGGCCTGCAGCAGCCATTGCCTTTTTGCCAGGCCAAGAAGCCTCCAGCCGCCACCTCTTTGCTGACTGGAACCAAGCCGGCAGCAACAGCAACAGCTGGAGGCTTCTCAAGCTGGTAAATAGCGGTGGCTGGAGGCTTTTCGAGCCAGCAAAGAGCAGCGGCTAAAAGCTCCTTGTGCTGGCAAAGAGTCGTGGTTGGAGGCTTCTTGCGCCAAAAAAGAGTGACGGCTGGAGGCTTCTTGCACCAAAAAAGACTTGTGGCTGGAGGTTTCTCGCACCAAAAAAAAATCTGTGGCTGGAGGCTTCTTGCGCTGGCAAAGAGGTGGTGGCTGAAGGCTTATCGGTTGGGGCGGGGGACATGGTGAGCAGGGCCGGATTTAGATGAAAAGAGGCCCTAGGCTATTCCACTTATGAGGCCCTTTCACCAGTGGTGGGATTCAATTTTTTTAACAACAGGTTCTGTGGGCGTGGCTTAGTTGGGGGTGTGGCTTGGCAATCATGTGATTGGATGGGCGTGGCTAGCTGGTCACATGACTGTGTAGGCGTGGGTAGCTCGTCATGTGACCGGGTGGGCGTGGCAATGTGCATAGACTTTTTTCAGAGGGCTGAAAAAAGTCATTTCTGACTGGGCCTCGCACTTTTGACCGGTCCTCACACTTATGACCATCCTCACATTTATGCCCATGCAGCTTTCTTAACAACCATGTCACTCATTTCACAACTGCTTCTCTTCACCATGGTGACAAGATAGGGCAAAAACGTAAAATGTGAGGACAGTCGTAAGTTCGAGGACTGGTCAAAAGTGTGAGGACCAGTCAGAAATAACTTTTTCAGCCCTCTGAGTAGTCCATATGCATAAAAGGATACAGCAATAGAGAGGGATGAAGG